TTTCTGCAGTTAAGGCTGCTGTTAGAAAAGAAGACTGAGACAGCCCAAGCCAAGCACCGCAAAACTATGCCAGTGCTGTTCTAACAGAGATGTGACATTTTGATTAACCTCAAAGATGTCATAGATGGGAAACTGAGTCCAGATAGTACTCCACAGATGCCCCTTGGCTAGCTGAATGTTGCTCCACAGCAAACCCAGGGTGAGGAAAAAAGTCACAGAGAGAGCAGGCAGGTTTCTGTCCATTTCTATTTCAAAGGAAACAGAATAAATCAGTATTTCAAAGGGTTAGCAAAGCATTGAAGGGATGGAAAAACATCTGCTCATCTAGAAGTGACAGTACTCTTCCTTGCATATGTTCAATCATAGGAAATCATCCCATTTTTTCTCCTCATGATTCCAAAGAACAGGATCTCAGATTCCTAGTTTATAAGAGCAATGAGGTTTTACAGCAAGTCCCCATACTGCCTTCAATCATCACAACTACCGTGTGTCAGTGTTCAAAGAGTGGCTTTGGGTCATGTAAGGTTTTCTGACCAAATGGACCCAGAAGTTCCATTTCAAGTGTACACCAAATAGTTTCCAAATCCTAAAGCAAACCAACAAATGGTGCCTCAGACAGGGGGGCAGATTAACCCAAAGCAAAATTTCCCAAATACATGAAGTTTATAGTGTAAAATCCCCAATATATCTTATCTTTTTTCCTGTTTTTACTTTATTATCCCTACACTTACCAACTACAGGCACACATTTCTTAGTGCTTTCCACCATTAATTTTTCCTATCATTTCCGTACTTGCATGTATATAAGAACCTATGACTGCAAAAGTCTATTCTCTAATGTGGTTCCTTGGACTCTTCACAACACCTGGTAGCTGGGAACTGCAGAGCAGCCTTCTTCAAGGAAGGAATATTTTCTGATCCTCCATGTAAACTTATCCCTGCATATTCCATCCACAGAAGGGACAGATAGGCCAAAGATAGTCATGTCTGACAGCAGTGACAAGCAACTCCTGTAGTCAGGCCAAAAGGGTTGCTCAGGCTGCTGTTGATAAACGGCAGAGGACTTCACCTACAGCAGACAGTGGGTAAACACATAGTATGATCTCAAGTAAAAGAGAGATCCAAGTTCATAAGCTGTAGTTGCCTTAATGCCACCACGTGGTGAAGATTTGGAAAGAAAGACTTGTTTTCATGGAAGGGGTCTGGCATCATGGGTGATCCCATTTGCTTCTGTTGCAATGAGGATATCAGCAAAATCAGGTGCTGGGGAGGGTGCAGGCCTCCTTCAGCAGCAAGGACAGTAGTACACATTGTGATACTGAGGTCAACATTCCTAATGGTACCAAAAAGAATGCAACTTCCCTGTTCCCCCAAGCAAGTTTTCTCAACACAGAGAAAACAGCTTTGGTTCAACAGTGCCAAGCCCCTGTCAGAAGACAAATGTAAGCCAAACAGTGCTTGACAAGGATGAAAATAAAAATGCCATCTCGTGGTGCTCTGATAGAATTGACCAGATAGAGAGGCACCAGAGAGAATGTCCTGAGCCCTGCAAGTCCAGCCTGAACAAGGAAATATTCTACAGCAACTGTGTGGGACCAAAAGGTTTTGATTTTGACTAACACAGTCCATGGAATGCATGAAAAAGACAAAAACTTCTTGGGTAAAGGCACAACAGGACAACCGAGAGCTTCAGCTCATCAGCTGCTTGAGCAAGAAACTTTCTAAGCTGACTTCTCAATTGTGTTTTACCCAAAGCATAAAAGGGCACCGTTGCTGATGTTTCCCACACTCAAGACAGTAAACAGATTTGGAATTTTAGCCAGAAGATGATCTGTGATCCTTGCAATTAACAGTGCAAGTCAGAAAGAATTTTGCCTTTGGGAAACATAATAATATCTAAACACTGAAAGAAAAAGCAACATACAGCTAGAAAAATCAAATCGAGTATGAGCAGAACAGAATGACACTACAGAGCAGTTAAGAGATACTGACATGCCCACACGTGATCTCAGATGGCCAAGCACAAGTATCTCAGAATCATTTGTTTTGGAAGGGACCTCTTGAGATCATCTAGCCCACCCCCTTGTCCAAGCAGAGACAGCTAGAGCATCTTGTCCAGGGCCACATGCAGGTGAGTTTTCAATATCTCCAGGGACAGAGATACAACCATCCCTCTAGGTAACCTGTGCCAGCATTTGACCACCCTCAGAGCAGAAAACTACACACAGTGTTTATTAGAAGGAACACAGATTCTCTTGAGGAGTCATTATCTGCTTAGTTCCCCAGTTGTTCTGTGTGGACTGCTAGTGCAAACAGGACACTGTGAGGGGCCTACCTGCAGCTGTGTTCCTTACGTTCCTTACGTGGCTATTCCACAAAGTGTCCCAGAAAGCCTAACTGTTGGCAACAGCCTGCACTCCACACTGATCAGGAGCTACCGCACTGACAAGTCAGGCTGTACCCAAACCAGGTTCTGAGGTAGGTCTGCAGTATGGGCTAATGGCCAATCTTCTCTATCCCAAACTCTGCCAAGCTCTAGCAACTTGCTAGACTCTGATTACAAGCTCTGAAAAGAGCAGCAGCTCATTAGTCCTTTAAGGTTGCTGTGACATCTAAATAGAAAACAAAAAAGGTTACTATTTAAGGGGGACTGCAATGTTCAGTTCTACTAGAAAAATACAGAGGAATTTTAGACAACACTGTTCCCTTGCTTTTCATCTAGAAACCCATGAAATGACTATATCACCTGTGGTAATACCACCAACTTCCTCCATCCACCAACTGTTGGATAAAGGCAGCATCTCCCTTTCTGAAATGTTTCTCACCTCTTTGCAACACTCTCAGTGAAAACATACACAATACACGATTCCCAATGCTCTCAACCCAATTTCTTATTTTAACTTTATCATTTATTTCTGTAAAGCATTTGGGGATTAACCTTGAACCCAAAAAAGCTAGATTCTTCACAGAACAGCTTGATTTGTAAAAATATGGTTTAAGTAATGTGTCATTCTTAAATGCAGGATAGCTGATGTGTAGCCAAATCTGCTTCTTTGGTCTTTTCTGTCCCTTAATATTTACTAACTGCTTTGCCAGGGGACTTGTCCTAATTCCACACTCCACCACTCCCTCTTCCCAATTACAGCATCATGCTGTGTACAAATGTGGGTGTTTTTTCAAGCATTTGGTATTCTCAACTATTTTCCAGAAATAAACACTGGCAGTACACATGTATTAGTCAATGCCTTGCACATTTTCTGATGCTAGTCCTCACTTGGTGATTTCAGGTCACACTTTTCAAGCATTCTCTGCCCTGTATATAATACATATTGACACTAACTAGCATGATAGCATTTTCTCTTGGCACTATAATATCTATCATTCTGCACAGTCATACCTTCAACTCAATTCAGAGCATTCCAAGTGTACAACCAAATTAAAAAATCTCAATCACTGCCTTGGCTTGCCCTCACTCCACTGTTTTCAGACCTCAAACACCTGCTTTGCTGTTCTTTGGGAGCTTGTGTATCCAAGCCTTTCACATATCAACAGCAAGATTCCTCTAACAATCTGGGTTGATTTCTCCTTTACACAGATCAGCTGCATCTATTACAACACAGTGTATTAAAAAGAGGCCTATCAGTCCTCCTCTTAGATGATCTGAAACGTGGAAAACAATTTGACCTTCAAAAATAATTCAATGACTTTTACCCAGAGGCAATCTGTCACAAATATTAAGTAACCCGTCTCACAAGACCGGCAACAGTCTCACCCTCTAATTCAATCATATCTCTGGAGATTTTGTACAAGAGAAGAGGTATAGACACAAACATAAGGCCACAACACTATCTCTGAAGCATGAGCCCTAGTGATAGGGCTCCTACTCCCTGCTTCAACAGAAGGGGATTCCTCTGACCAAGTGGGAATCCTGCAAAAAGTCCCTTCAGAATCCCTTCAGAAGCATATTATACTAGAACATAGAAACTGTTCCTGTCAATAGTTGGCCTTGCCTTAACAAGGAAATTACGCAAAATGCACTTCAGCAAACAGCAGTTCTCAGTCCCTCAAAGGCAGATTGGGAAATTCCTTGTTTACATCCTCCCATAGCAATCAGTTTTTAGTAGAAGACCCCTTTACTGTTCCTTCAGCCAGGAACAACTCCAGCAAGACAGCTCCCTTGCACCCTTTGGTGTTAAAATGCATCTCATCACAATTGCAAGAGCCTTTGGGATACTGGCTGGTTTCTTTCACCCTAGACTTTAAAGATCAGTAAATGAAGTTTTAACTTTTAGCCCTATTTATTATAGTTTCATCTCATCAAACAGAAAACACCACCCTGATATAAAGCAAGTCCCTCTTCAGTGTAGTATCTTCGATGGCAGCAGGGCTGGATATGAGCCAAGGAAGGCTCCCATTTTGCTGCTTCCCAGTCAGTTTGAAATCTGCTTATAAGCTTTGCCAGGTTCAGCTATAGAAACTGATGGCCCCAAGGCTGACTTCCACATCCAAACCAATATAAAGCTGTGTTAGGAAAAATTAAGAATAGACACATCACTTTACACTTTGCCCTCAGAACAGTGAGGTAATGAAAAATTAGCTAATTGTCAGTTTCCCTATACTTTGTCTTATCCACTTTTTGCACTCATCTACTAGTCAACCATTTTCCTTGGAGACTCCATCACGCTTAGAGTACTCCTGGTCCTCTGTGAGGCAATCAGCTAACCTCATTTCCTAGTTAGATGCTGCTTCCTCTATTTCTTATTTTCTAATCAGTATCACTAGATTGCAGAGACCAGTGTACAATCTACTCATTGTTCTTATAGCCTGGCAGACAAAAGTAGTCCCTGTTGTTGGAACTCACTGGAGTGAGCTGAATGACTTAACATAACATTACATATAGATGAAAGCTGAAGAGAAAATTATAAAAACCATTTGCAACTTCAGATTCTAGTTGTTAACATGCACAGTAACTTAGCGCTTCCAAAGGCCTTTCTGCCTTACCTTGCAGCTTTTTCAGGACAGCCACTTCCATCTTGAGAACTTGCTTGGGCTGCTGGGCTGATTCTACCTTCAAGGCCACGTTCTCACGGGTCAGCAAATCCATCGCCTCATAGATCTCCCCAAAGCCACCACCACCAATCTTCTTCAACTAGAAAAGTACGAAGAGATTTGGTACAATGTACATGACAGAGAACATCAAACTGGCTCCCATAAAGCCAGGCACTAGCTTCTTAACTGTGTAGAGAGAACCAGCTCAGTTCCCAATCTGTGCTGTGGCTGAATCCCTTCACTGCACAGCTAGGCAAAAGTCCAGCTACCCACTTGACTGTGCTATGTATAAATTCTTTGCTGTAACAACAAAGAACAAGCCTAGCAACTAATGACATGTGATACATTTAAAAGCAAAGGATAATGCCTATTATCTCTGTAATGTTCCTGCCAAAATTCAAGGAAAGACACTTCAAGGATGTAGCAGAACCACTATTCAGACCATGTTAGGTAAAAACCGTCATTCCCTCTCAACAAATACATTTCTGCAGTAAAACATAACCATGGTAGTTGGAACTAAGAAATAAGTTAAATGAAGTTTACATGTCATTCAAAGGATTTTAAACACAGAACAAAACATCCACAGGAATATTTTACAAGATACTTGACCTTCTCCGCTAGTGAAGTTGCTTCATTGTCACATTTCAGTGAACTGTCAACTGCATTACCTCAAAACAGTTGCATACAAGCCACCCGTAGAGCTTCACTGTTTCTCATTCTCTTGCTCTATTTATTTAATTTTTAGTTTGAAGCCCAACAAAATTATGCTCTTTGTATCTCTGAGCAAAATTAAAGACTGTTTCTCAATAGGATTTCACTATTTCAGCTGACATAAACTCAAAGCTAAAGAAGTCTAAGTTCCAGCATATTTGATATGTACCTACTAGAGATAGATCATCTGCCTGTTCTAGAGTAGCCTCCCACTCAAGAGAGCAAATCGGGATCCTCTGCCTTTCCTGGAAGGTGATTCCTTGATCCTCCTTCTGCTGAGACTTGACAGCATATGTGCATATATTTATATATGAGCATGTATAAGACAGACTTCTAATGTGTTGCAAGTGTCAATGTGCAAGTGCCAGGAAAATTATTTTATATTTGTTTCTCTTGGATACATTTAAAGCATACTGTGCTGTCCAGGAAGAAATTGAAGTTTACAGCAAAGATAGATCAGGGTTCCCTTGATCTGCTTAGCACTTGTTCACTGAACCTAGCTGCAGCCCTTCCTTTCAGCATTTTGTGTTCCCTCTGTGTTAGCAACTGCTCTGGAAGCCCTGAACGCTGCTTCTTTCCAACAGCAGCAATAACACTTCAAGAGAAAAAGACGTTTCAGTCACACAAACATGGATCTTACATAATGTTTAATGAGGTTTAGATGATATATTAGTGTCTTCTGCACCACAGAAGACCTGTCCAGTTTGCTGAACAAAGGGCCCTGCCTACCCAGGGCAGGGTTTTTTCTTCCTAAGGTGACCCAAAAATCATTTGCTTTACTGACTTGCAGGTCAAGAAAAACAGTTCCACATGAAGAAGGAAATATTTTCCATATTAAGGGCCTGGCTATTGTCCCTGAAGCTATTTCTTGATAACCCTACGAAAGCTGCTATCCAGAGCCATTCTTCTTTTTGACATTTTTCCTCACAACCTTCCACTGGGCTAAACAGGCATATGCATACAGCCCAATAACTAGGTCACCACATATTATTCATAATTACAGTGCAGTCCTATTTCTACTTGGAAATTCACACTAAGTTAGCTGGCTATTAAAAATCTTTCTATCGAAACAATACTACATTTGGCACAGCAACAATATGCCAGCTAATACCTCAGGATTCAGTACACAAGATCTTCTGTTGCCTGATGTATTAATGGCACAAGAGAAAGGGAAAGGAACAGTGAAAAGCTACAGAAGGCAAAAAGTTTAGTTGGGATCTGGAAGGACTTTGAGAAAGACTGAAAAACTCTCAGTTGGAACATAGGTAACATAACAAGCAAAAGTCAACAGTAATAAATACAGCACAGCATAGCTGGGATGGAGAAGAAATACAGGCTACCCAAACATCTCAGTGGGTACATAATTCAAGAAATGGATCTGGGGAGAAAAATTGCTGAGCCAGCACAGGCACACATAATGATCTTTTTCCATTCATTGGCCCTAAAAGGGACAGCTCTGATGTCCAACACAGTTGTCAAAATGCAAAAGTACTACAATACAAATGGAACAACACAGTAATATGATTAGGATAGTGGCACTATCAGGATCTGTAGGAAGGTCTAGTCACATACAATGAAAATATTGAACACCTTGCTGCTAGAGGCTCTCACTGAGTTAGAAGTCATTCATTTCAGGAGTAAAAGAATGATCAGGAGCCTGGAAAAACTAAGGACAGACTAGGACTACTACCTCAGGAAAAGCAAAAGAATGTGTGCATCAGAGAAGCAGGTTCAGGAAGAAAAGTACAATATTGAGACTGCACACCTGGGAAAACAGCCAATTCAGAAGAAATGTAAAAGTCTATAGAGAAACAAATGTGAGATGACACGAGATCAAGATCGGAGCTTCTGCTGAATCAGCAAACTGATTTTATACACACATTCCAGCCAATGGAATGCTGTCAAAGCTGCCTTTGCTTCCTCATATCCTTTCTTACCCTCTCATGGAAATTAGTCTCAGGCATACTTTTCCCAGCACATCAGATGGTTCTATTCAACATTACCAGCACTGCCATCCTCCTTGATTTTTCAGCAATATCCAGAGGCCACCAGCAGCCATTTCCTTTTCTTTGTTGCAAAGGAAGTTGTTGCAACTCAAGGTCTTGGCTGAGGTCAGGGGCTTATGACACAAGCATTTCCTCATTGCTTGGGTATTCTGTGGGAGATCACTAAGGTGAACACAGCACAGGCTTCTGCTGGACACAGAGAAGAGATGGGCATATACCACTCAAAAAACCCAAAACCAATAATGATACCACAAACACAAAGTCAAAAAAGAGAATGAAACATCTAACTAGAATGACCTAAGTTGCAATCACGAGTCATCAGCCTATGCTAAGCCTCACTGCCCCAGGAATATTCTGTTCTCATCGTTTCCTACCTTCCACCAGCCCATTTACTGTTAAGACTGGGATACAGGCTGACAAAACCAGCAGGACTCATTCTACCTAAATGCACAAGCCCCTGTGCATGAGTCGAATGGTCAGGTTTCCATTACAGGCTGCAAGGTCAAGTGAACAGTTCATCTGATCAAACACAGGTTTGGACTTGCACACAGACAATCAGTAGTTACATAGGACACAAATGGCTCCCTTTGAAGTCTCCTTTAAATATTATGAAATATTTTGGATTTATCCTGAAAAAGCCTCTAGTAGCACAATCCTCCAGAGCCTATAAAAATCCAACAACAACAACAACACACAGCCTTCTCACTAAGCAGAATCAGTATTCTCAGAGAGACAGTTCAAAAAACCAAGGCAACACACAACTCCAACCAAAAATAGCTTTGAATTACAAATTTAATCTTTTATTTCAGAAGCATATATGACACCACTGCTCTAAACAAAGTCTGCCTTCCAAGGATATTATATAAAGACCAGACCTTCCCAGGATAACCAAGGCAGGAGTGGTTCAGTCTCAGGATCGGTGGCAGGGTCAAGGAACAAGAATGTGTGCTCTGAATCCAAAGCAAAGGACCAAACAAAAAGCCAGCGATCTATAGTGAACTCAGCCAGGGTCAAGGCTGTCATCCATAGGCTTCAAATGTTTGACAAGGTCAAACAATGACTACTGTTACTGCCTTTTAGGAGCACTTGCATAGTCAAGCCTGCAACTCCTGTAGCCCAACTCAACGGGCTCCTTGATTCAGAAATTGCTAGAAGGCCTCATCTGACTTAACAGGTGAGGACGAGTTGAGTTGACCTACATTCATCAAACTCTCAAGAGTCCACTCAGCTTGCTCAAAAGGACTGGATCTGATCTCCAGGGAAACGAACTCATGTATAACAGGCATGTGACTGAGCCATGAACTGAGAAGGCAATCAAGAAGCCAACCAGGCACATTCTAAAACATCTGAAAACCTCTCAAAGCCCACTTAAAGCAATTCAGAGTGAGACCAAAACAGGCCCCAAGACTGAAAAAGAACCTTCCTTGTCCCAAATTCCCTCTTGGAATCATAAATGGCCCTTGTGAGCCAGACAAGGTAAAGAGTTCACAAAAGTGTGTACGACTTCCAGCAAGGTTTCCAAAATAAACAGGAGAGCTTCAGTTCAAGAACTTCAGAAACCTTAAAGAAAACAAAGCATAGATTGCACCTAGCAAAAGAACATGTACATGAGTCAACACTTATATTCAAAGTTCAGTGCAGAAGCTGCCAACTCTGTCTTGCTAATAAGTCTCAGTTGTGAATCCCCAATAAAAAGCATTTAGGTGAAACAAAGAGATACATCAATTCAGCTTTAAGGCATCCACATTTATCCCTAGTTCAAAGCAAGCACAAGTTATGTTTGTCTTTGTTCCCTCCCCTGAACAAAGCTCTTCGCACCATTCAGAGCACATGTGGATCAAGTCACCCCCTGGGACTCAGTAAAAGTCGTGTGGTCCCATTACTGTCTAAATTTCATCCAGTGAAAGCATCAAAAATATCTGCAAGTAACAAATGATGACTCAAAAGAATACTTCTTCTAAGTCCAAAAGTTTTGATAAAAACCATAAGCACTGCTTGTCCATGTCTTTTTTCATAAATAAGAACAAAAATCTTACTGCTGTCAGACAGCCAAATTTTACTGACTTCGAGTGACAGGAAAATGAACAACCAAGAGGCCAACTGCAGAGAATTAACATCTTCATTTGTCAAAGCTTTGTCAACCACCATATAGGAAGAGAGGAGGAAAGAAATTCAACGAATACATTACACCAAACTAAAATTAGAAATTGGCTCAATACTGGGAGTATATCAGCACTAAGAGCTACAAGGTTCAAGCAGATGCCCAGTCAGAGACAATCACAATGGGAGGACAAATTACACAAAAAACCTTCTGGCAGCTGCACCCCAGCACCGCAAAAATATGCCACACACCTGCTTGAGCAGGATCCATCACCCACAGCAAAGCTTGGACCATACAGCTTGGACACTGTGGGTTAGATTTAGAGAGGTCTATGATGCAATGTTACAGCTGTATGCTCGCTTTAAGGTGCAGTCCCTTTTTCCTCTGTCGCTTGATCCTATGCTGTCCCTTTCCTTGGGCCAAAAGAGGTATTTTCATAGCTTTTCCAGATTACTTCGAGCCCCACACAGCCTGTGGTTCTGACTGGTCCCACACCAACATCAAGCACAGCAAGGGGACAGCACAGAAGGCCTGCCTAAAAGGAATGTGCACCTTGCACTTCTTTGGTGGGGGAAAATGTTCAATGAAGGCTGACAATGCTCAACTCAGCTAGCACAAGGCCAAATTCCCAGCTCTACTCAGAGGTGGTAATAAGAATTTCTCATTGCTATTTACAGCCTTTAGCAAGGCATGTCATTTCTCAGAGCCTTCAAGTGGGGCAATGACCTTACTGCAGTATTGAAGGCTACTGTGAGCCAATATTACAAAACATAAAAGGCTATTCCTCTAGTTTGAGGTAGTTATTGACAATACAGCTACACATTTTTATCTTTTCTAAGGCAGAATTAGTGGGTAGACCTTCTAGATGTCCCCAGTCACAGATTCAGGCAACAGTGAAGCACTGAACCCCACATTTAGGGCCTCTACCAACTTGAAAAGTAGTTTGAAATGTTCCCCTGTGAGCATAACTTAGCATATTTTAGACCTTACTTGTAGCTTTTGGTGCTTTTAAGAGTTCTGCTGTTTCCAAGAACAAAGTTACTTTGTTTAGACCGTGTTACAAAAATACTGCCATCATTTACAGATGTTTTAGCACACCTGTCTATGAAGGAGAAACTTGAAGTTTGATGAATAGGCAATGGTACAAGCCAAAGCTAGCTAGGGTAAAGGAAAACAGAGAATCACAGAATCACAGAATTGTTAGGGTTGGAAGAGACCTCTGGAGATCACTTAGTGCAACCCCCCTGCCAAGGCAGGGTCATTTAGGGCAGGTTACACAGGAATGTGTCCAGGTGGGTTTTGAAGGTGTCTAGAGAGGGAGACTCCACAACTTCCCTGGGCAGCCTGTTCAGTGCTCTGCCTTCCTCAGTGTAAAGAAGTTCTTCCTCATGTTGAGGAAGAATGAGTGTTTGCCAGCATGCTCTTAAAGCAAAGGCATCAGGAGAGTGTCTAAATTCAGCTTTGCAAAAAATCGTGAACCAATCTGACCAAATTGTAGGCTCTGGGGAAATTTCCATTTGTGCAGGGAGGGACAGACAAAAGCTGCAACCTGTATTTTCTGAGATGTCGGTAAGCACAGAGCATGTTTCGAGTTCTATGTGTCAGTTCACTTGCACATGTATCATCCTGCTAAAACAAGTATATGTGCTCCAGAGTAGAGCTGCAAGAGTACAGCAAGACTTTCCTTCAGCTGTGCCAGAAAGCTTTGGGATGGGGATAGAGGTTGTCTCCATTTTGGTGTCTAATCACAGAGAAAATAGATTCTCCATTTCCTCTCAAGAAGCAAGACAATGAAGAGCAGTTTGAATTGCTTAAATATAAATAGGCTGTTCAGGGATAGGTCAGACAGAAAAGTGAAGGCTGTGGAGAAAGCAGGAAGCAAAGCGAAGAGAGGCAGGAAATGGGAGAGCAAAAAGAACAGAGGAAGGTTGAACTGTGCAGGTCAACTACATTAAGTCTAATGAAAGGATAATGTATTGTCTGATGTAGGCTGGTGAAAATAACCTATCCGCAGCCTGGAACTGAAGTGAATTCAGAGTCCTGGATTTTTTTAGTCCTCCGCTCTTCACATTCCACTGCAAAACTCGCAGGGCCACTGTACCACAGCTAGTCAGCACAGAGAATGACTTAGTGCTACCACTACAAATCACTTGTACTTCAAAGTAGCGAGGCTTCTGCTGTAAGATTAGGGATTCAGATAGTGCTGGTATTCCTAGTTAAAAATGAAGACAATGGCACACACAGGATTTAAATTTTTTTTCAGCATCTTAAAAGCCAAGCCCATCCAGCTTGCACAACAGATGACAGTTGTCCCATGAAGAAATAAAACTCTTAACAATAATATAATTTTTAAAAGTATCCTAATAAATTTACACAGATGTTGTACCAGCTAGTTAATCATGGAATTTCTGACTTTTGAAGTAGCTGACATTCCAACCCTACACATTTGGACTTATATTATTTTACTGTAATGCATTTTATTTATAGACTTGTCTGCAGTATTCTTGGGCATAGCAACTCAAAATCTAAGTTCTCACTAAAAAAATTACTCAGCCTGCTGCAACAGTTCAATCCTACCTAAAAATCCTTGGCAAGTTTAGTGTTCTGAAAACACCAGACAGTCTAAAAACCACTAGAGTGATATCAACCTTCTTGCAGTATCTTGCTAACATGTTGAATCATACCACTCCACTGTTGCTTGCTAGAGGCCAGGATTAAGTAGACAAGTTATTGTACAACTACAGGAGGAGGAGGTCTGTTTGAGCCATTAAAGAAGCACAAAGCTGGAGCTACTCACCACTTTCCAACGATCTTTGACCACGTAATTGGCCGGAAGAATGTCGACCTGTTCCCCTCCACCACTCATGTTTGGTTCGTCCTTGATGACTGCTGCTAGGCACTGCATTTGCCAGCCAGAGAGTATTTTAGTAGCTCCCAATTTAAATGAGCCATTTATCTGGGGGAAAAAAGGGGCAGGGGGAACAAATGACAAAATTATTAGAGGTCGCAATATAAGTACATGCTACATTTCCACAGGTTTTGCATATGACTAAAAGAGAACCAGCCTCTTAGGAAAGAAAACAAACTCACCTCGCAAACACCTGAGCTCACTCCATGCCCAACCTGACAGACACAACCATGCTTCAAGTCAGCAGCACACACTAAAAGGGTGACAGTTATCAGCTACACCGTGCTGCAGTCCAGTGCTCTTGGGCCTGACAGTCAACAACACATAGAGAATCTAATACCAAAATGCTGCAAGGGCTGTTATTGCTACCAGGCAAAAAGGTCTTGCTTTAGCAGAGCAGCTGCTACCTGGCCAGTTTTTATGGATTTCATTGGATGACATCCAACACAAATTGGAAAGGTTTGCCAGGTATTGCATTCAATAAGCCTAAAAGCATCTGAATAGGGTAGAAGGCCTTTACAGAGCCAGGATTACAGACACATCACTGTAATGAACAGCCAAGCATAGAAGATGGGGATTGTTAGAAAAGGCTGAAGCCATGTATATATTAGTCCTCCTCATAGCATACACATGGTGCTAAAGATGATCAAATTAAAATACAGAGAAATAACTTGTGCCTATGGTGTTTCTCTTCTACCTCATGCCCTTTTTTCCTGCTTTTATATGGAGCTCCAGCTAGCCTATGCTGAAATTATTTTTGTTTTAAGTTTTTTGGTTATGTATCTTCTATAAAAATGACTTTCCAAAACACATTAACTCTGCTTTCCTGGAAGAAAATTAATTGAAAAAGGACTAATAAAAGATCTTCCTAAGATATTTTACTGGCTTTAGAAGTAGGCTGGATCTTTTACTAAGCATGGATCTTGGCAATTCTATTGTCCTTCCCCCAAAACAGGAAATATCTTCCTTCCTAAAAATGAGTGTTACTGTAGCACTCTGGTTGCAGACTTAAATTAGATTAACAACAGAAATACCAAATTTTAAAAAAGTACTAAAGCTGGTCATTCAACCCTTACACTTCTTTGGGCCTAAAAAAAAGGAAAAAGTCACCAGGTAATTTTGAGCTCAAGTAGAGAAAAGAACTCATTCCCTACAATAAAAGGACTCAGAGGGAAAGCTAGAAAGTGACCAGCATGTAGTATGCAAAAGGAAGCAGAGACAGAAGTATGTCAAAAGTGCAAGACATAAACAATGAGCAAACAAAACATGAACAAAAGATCTCAAAGAGATCTTATACAAATCTTCACAAAAGAAGATTTCATTCTAGATATAGAAGATAACTACACGGAAAAAAATATCAGCAGACTAACTCAGTAAGAGGGCTGCTGAGAAATGTTCATGAAATCCAACATCTGCTAAAGGATAATCAAAATTATAGAAGAGAAATAGGAAAAATCTGAATATTAAAGAGATTCAGAAGAAAGGTAGTGCAAAATGTTCCAAATTCTCAGTGAAAGAGTCCTGCATCTGTGTGGGGCAGCTGCCCTTTCAATCACCAGGTATTGAAATAAGAAACTGGAAAGAGAAAATACATGCTGTGCTTGGCAGCACAACATTTGTGCTTCTTCTTCCTAATGACCAAGTCAAATACCATTCCCAGGCTCTTTTATGTTCACCAGAATATCTGAACTGGTCTTCCCTAAGCTAGCAGTGTGCTCTGCATACACTGTGCACCTGACCTTCCTGCACATCACTGCAGGATGCACAGAAGAGAGAATCCCTGCAAAAATCTCTTCTAAGGCTGGCTTTTCTTCTGGTATTTAAAGAAAAGTAATTTAATTATAGACTGCCCCAAACTTTCAACATTATAAAAATATAAAAACTCCCAATATTAACACAAAGGCACAGAGGCAAGTATCCCCTCCCTAACCTTGAAGGTCTTTTCACATCACTTTAGGGATGCATGTGCATAATAAGATTTCAGTCTAGTGACTTGGGGTGGAAAGTAATCCCAAGGAATAATTTTAGAGGAGAGACAGAGCATGAAAGTCCACGAGCACTCAAAGCTAGGCAAGGTACAACTGCTTTCCCTCGTGCACTATTCCAGTTTCCTTTATCAATGTTTTAATATATGTGTACAAAGATAACATGTTTGTTATTTAAAGGAATAACATGTATCTTCACTGGCTTTGAAACAGAACAAAATTTTCCCAGGCAGTACCATGAATAGCAGCTATTTGGCAATATGGAATTACAGAACTGTTTGCAGATATGCTCTGGTATAGCCAGAGTGATGCAGCCAAACAAAATGCCAATTTAATTACAGCCCAAGACGAATTTCAAGCTGTTTTACATCACAGTAGCAGCACAAAGCAGCATGAATCAAAACTTGTTCCTGAGGCAGTACCAATACTGCAGAAACATGCCCAGACCTACAGGTAAAGGGTTTACCAGAACAACACTGAAGCATTACCTACATCCATAGCAAGGTGTAACACATTAACCTAAAACTTCAGAAGCATCACAAAGAAAGGGCAAAAGAAGGGATGAAGTCACCTTTGTGCAGAAACCATCAGCATATTTAAATTGTGCTTTTAATTTATGCATTATTGTAATGCCTTTCAAATCAATAAAATATAGTGTAAATATTATTTGACCGGCATCAGAGCCTGTAGCCAGCTCTATGCTAGAGCTGAATTTGCTAATAGAAGGGAAGTGGCAAGGGATGGTCACTGGGGGAATGATAAGGCACTACCTCTCTTCCAGAATACATGGCAGAGAGCATCATTTCTACATATTAAATGATAAGTGGTGTTACAGGGAATTAGAGGAGAGATGGAAGGATTATATCTCTCTTCAAATTCAGCAAAGCTGGACCGAAGCATATGAACTTTTACATATCTGCACCACTCTTCTTACCTTTAAAATGTATCAACCATTGAATGCAAAGAGACATAATTTAAAATATAGTGACTGTGAAAACAAGAACTTTCAGATTGCCTTTTCCTGTAGCAAAAGTACAGGATGTCAAGAAATTTTTGCATTCCTGTCCCATGAAGACATGCAAGAGAGTTGAGCAACTCTAAGACACTGTAAAACTGCCTTCCTAGAAATAGCAAGTGAAGCAGAAATGAAAGCAGCTATGAGAAAGAAACCGTGACAACAGCAGGACCAAATCCTGTCTCTTGGCCAACCTCAGCATGAAGAAGTGTGAAATCAGCTCTTGCATACTGCTCTCTCTTTGAGCCAATTAGGGAGAATCTTTATAGTTTTATAAATTTAGTCTTGGCCTTTACAATAAAGAAATCCAAAAAACCATGTTTACCAATTCACTGAAGGTTGTAAGAGCGTTCTGAGGAGTCACTTTATATGCTTTCCCTGCTCTTATTCTCTTTCTTAGATATCCATTCTTGGCCAACTTAGGTCAGGATGCCGGCCTTAGATGGACCTGTGGTATGACTCAGAACAGACAGGCTTGTGTTTTGATGAGGTACTTTCAGCAGAAGGAGTGTATATATAATACATATGTCTCTTTTATCCCTTCAAGGAGGTCAGAGACCAAAAAAGTAAATACACATAACCCAATTACCTATCTCACAAGGTTTTCTTTCATGCTAGCAAAATTTTAAACAGCTTTATTGGAAAAAAATATTTCCTAATTTTACAGGATTACAGCACTCTTAAAACTAAACTTAGAAATAACAAGCATGCCCCGTGGAAATTCCTAATGAATACATGAGATCTTTCCTATGTTAGCTTACTTCAGTCTTGAGGAGTGCTCAAAATACAGCCAAACTCACACAAACATCAAGTTGAAAACTCATCAGATGTGAGGTGGTTATTAAACAGCAGAACAAAGCTATGGAAGTCTGTCTCTCACCACCTAACTAAAGGTCCTGGATAATCTTAATGAATTAATCTCACTGTGGAAGAGTTACAATATCTCACTTTACTTCAGGACACATCCTTACCTCTGAAAGTCTGCAAATTAGAACCATCAGAACAAGTGAAATTTACTTAGACTGCTGTAACCCATAACCACCTTAGGAGCATGATCCACCTTAAGAGCAGATCCCAATGGTGCTATAGGAAGTTGACAAAAACTACAGCTTTTTTGGGTGAGACAAACTGGACATCTGCAAAACCAAAAGAAGTAACCCCAGTAAACTGCAGTCTAGAAATCAGATCAATCTCCCTGTCCAATACTTGCGTGGAAGAAACAACCAAAAAATAGTTGTAAATAGAATTTAAGCATAATTTAGGTGTTCCCAACATGAACTTTACTGGCATTAAGCCAAAACGAAACAGATGGGGTGGTGAATAAGACGAGAACATAACAAGTAGGATTGAGAGTGCTTAGAAGTAAGGAAAAAAAACCACTGGAGTTTCCAAGTGCCACTACTCAGCAGCACTGGGGCTTAGTTAATGGCAGCAATAAGTGCATGTACCCAGGGTCCCTCACTGTTTTTCCAATGTCATTGGCTCTAACACACAATACTAACTATAAATATGGAATCACCCACATTGAAGCAAACAAAGAAAACCCTTAAATCTTTGTATAAATAAGTTGTACCATGCACTAGCATTCTGTCATTAGGGTACGAATGCATATGACAGTACAGGAAAGAAGTTGATTAAAAATATAATGTGCACTGGACTAACAGCCCCTCAGCCCTGGAATATACCAGATCTCCTGCTGAACTTGAAACAGCAATGAAAAACAACTCATACACTGTTAGGGTAGGTCTGACAACAAGAACTTGTAAGATTCTGAATTGTTCCTTGAAGACACATATCTTCCTTCATTGCCTGCCCCTGCTGTAGCAGACCCTGCTTAGAGAGCAGGCTCAATTCCTAGCAGCTGCACCTTGAAGTCTCCTCTGTGACATATTCTTCTCATAGCTATGCAAAGGCAATCAGCCTTAGAAATTCTGGGCTTGCTATTAACAGCATTTCATTTCTGTAAAAAACAAAACACCTGAAAGTGTTTTGTTGCAAGATGCTGGGACTGTTTTTCATCTTTGAAAGGTTTATGACCATTAAGGAGTGATGTAAGAAAAACAAAAACAAAAAAAAAGCTGCAATCAAGACAGACAGGTCCAGATTCTGTGCTAACACGAGGCTGCACTGAACAGAACATACATAAAATATATTAAATATGATAACAGATGAACCTTGACAGCATTATTATGACTAGCCAGTTGCACAACCAGCTGAATGTATTATTGCCTGCACAGTGAAAGTAACAGCATAGGACCTGAGGAAAACAAATCCCCCAAACACACAATAACATACTACCAGAGACTGTATTCACATACATTACAGAGCAGTCAGATACACCAGTAATTTCTGTGCCAAACCCACCTATCTACAGGGAGAAACAGCACAGCTAATTGTGACAACAAATCATTAGGAATGCACACCAGATAAGCACGCCTACACTACCAGCAGTTCACCTGATCCTAATCCTCTC